GGGGCCCCGGCGCTCCGCGGCACCGAGGCGCCCGCGCAGCCACGCGGAGCACGAGGCCGAGTCCCGGCACCGCGGCCGCGTGTGCAAATTGCAAAGCCAGAGAGAGCTGGATTCAAAGGGACACAAGCTCCATTTGCTGTGATAATTCGCAAATTGCTTCACTGAACTTCATCTGGTTTTGTGTCTGATCGCATACTGATGCTACACTCTATACTTTAAATGTCACCAATATGGAAAACACTCACTCAGAACTGGTGTAGGAGGCCTCTCTGAATCTTCCCTCTCTTTACTCGAGACATCTGTAGAAGTTACAAGATGTTCCTCTGAATCCATGGAAATGTGGAATTGGACAGTACCAGACTCAAACTGCCTCACCTGAAATTTGGAAGGGAAATGAAATGCTTTTAAAGAAAGCATGCTATGAACGGACTCCTTTGTATCTCTGAAAGGAGAAGCAATTCTCTCAGCTGTAGCCAGAGAAAACACAGTGCAAGAAGCGTCTTTCCAGGCATATGGAGGCAGAGCTGGCAGGGATTTACATTTTAATAACATCGCTGAAGATCTGTGTGCTTGCAGAAACAAACACACTCACAGACTCTTTCCACAGCCCACCCCAGGCATAAAATCTTGCTGAGTTAAGGACGTGCACATACATTCACCAGCCATTTAAAATTAATCTAGTGCTCTGCCTTTCAAGCAAACCATCAAGGCGATCGTGGGCAGAGCAGGGCAGGGCGGGCTGCAGGGCTGCTCAGCTCGCCGTCCGCGGCAGCGCAGTTCAGCCTCGTTAGGGGAGCGTGGAAACGACGGGCGCTTTTGCAAGGGAGCAGTAATTTCTTTTTACTGACAAGCGATAAACGCTTTGGAGCGAGGTCTTGGGGCCTCGGCTTGCACGGACATCACTTAGGAGCAGCGGCCTCGAGGCAGCACCGCGGCGAGGGGCAGCTTGGCCGTGCGCTGCTCCTCGGGCGCTCACGGGTTTGCTCCCTATGCCCTGGGAGGACGCGGGCGCTCGCGGTGCCCGCGGGGCGCTCACCTCCGCGCCGCCGCCGCGCTCCCTGTAGACGAGG